GCATGCTATTATTTTGAATAAAAGAAACTTATTGCTTGAAAAAAGAAACCTATTACTTAAGAAAAAAAGAACCTAACCACTTGAAAAAAATAACTTACTACTTTAAAAAACCTTTTTACCTGTACAAAAACTTTATCTATGTAATAAAAATAAGTCTTAAATTTTATTCAGCCACACTAGTACTTGATAGTCTGTTTTTTTCTCTGTACTTAAACTTTTTGTTTGTTTCAAGTAGAAAAAATACACTAAGCATACACACTTAAAACCTGCTTTCCAACCTAAAAGGTTCCCTTTGTTCAAAAATACAAATTTATTCTCTGTAGAAATTGTACAAGTTGAATCAAACACTTGGCAGAACCCAAAAATGAAAAAAAAAAGTTGTAGGAAGATGGACAAAAAAAAGTTATATTTACTCGTAAAGTAGCTAAACCAGTAAATTAAAAGAAATAAACACAATAGCACATTTCGGCTAATAACTCAGCGAAGAAAGTAGATTTCAGCAAAATTCAACGAGCATCTTGTTGACAAAAATTTGACGAATAGAGTGCAGGCATGTTAAATCATTACAAATTTCCCACACCAAGCATGTTAAAAATGCCCTAATATAAACTTAGATCAACACTAGCCCGGATTGCCAGCCGGTCGCGTTATTGTGATTGTGGTCCTGGCGCGTCAGTATTTTCGCACCAAATTGGGGATGAATTGTCCTATATTTCAATTTTAGTAAAAAAACACTTAGATATAGTAAAAATGATATTTCTGACGAACATTAAATAAAATGTGTCTTTAAATTTTTAAAAGAAGTATTTTTTTTATATTTTTTGTAGAATTTTTTGCTCTACAAAATATCGAATTTTAGTGATGGAGATTTTTTTTGATTTCCAGAGCTATGAGTTAAAAAGGAATGTGAAAGTGAAAAAAACCTGCTGTTTTTACGGTAGTCCTTTGTATTTAGCACGACGGAACTGCTCTTGGCCGATTTTGGAAGTCGAGGACACCTACTGTAAAGAACTGGTATGCCTTAAACGTTGAAAATTTGTTTCAAAAATTACATTTTACTTCAAAATATTTATAAACTATTGTCCTGCAGAGTTGAAGGAAGTAGTTTCCATTCTAGTGTTTTCTGCTTCCTGTATTTCGTATTTACTAGGCTCTTAAAATTATACCCATAGCGTAATTGTTGAAGTTTTGGTTGCACAAGCTCAACTTGTTCTTTTTTTGAAGTTATATGTCGTGGTCCTCCAGAAGCATAGAAAGTCTCAGGTAAGCCTTAGCCCAGCAGCTAACAAGGTGAAGCAGTAGGTTTTTAGACTCATTTATGACTCTAGAATGTATACTAGTGCATAATTTTAAGAGAATAAAATACAAGAAGCAGAAGGCACTGGAGTGAAGGCCAGTTCTTACATGCAGAATAATAATTTGTTAATATTTTGAAGTAAAATACAACTTTTGTAACAAATTTCCAACGTGTAAACCAAAACCTGAATTTTACAACAAATTTTCTATAGATTTTTTTATACGTATTCGGCAGTGACAAAACCGCCTTCAACTGCTTCTAGAACCCACGGAAACCAACTATTAAAATTCGGTGTCTTAGCAGTTGAAAATTTTTTTAATAAAAGCTGCACTTTGAAGTATTATCGAATTACTGTGCCGCAGGGTAGGACTAGCCTTTATTCCAGAATTTTTTGCCTTCTGTGTTTTATGGTTAACTGAAAAGTTTGATGAGGGCTCACTTAGCTCACAAAAAATAAGGACGGCAAGAATGTTTGATTTGACAGAAACTTTGTACCATGATGGGCTTTGCACGCAAAGCGTGCTTGAGACACAAGAATTTTTGTCTCAGCGTCTAAGGGGTTAACAAATAAAAAATCTAAGTTATTGGAATAGCACCCGTAGTCGAATCGTCAGATCAGGTTGTACAAGCAAACATAAGCTCGATTCAACGTTCTTTAACCTAATGTACTGTAATTCTTGAAGTTGGATAGACCCGTAATAACGCTACGTAAAACTCACGCTCAACTGGCTAAAGCAGTAGGTTTTGATACGTCAAAGTATATACTATCTGCTCACTTTTGACAAGGAGAAGACGGGAGGCGGAAGACGCTGAGATGAAGGCTATCCTTCAAAATCTATAATAATAGTTGGCTAATTTTGCAAAATAACTTTTTAAAAATATTTTTGACGACCAAAACATAGGTAACTGTCGTTAGCCAGTCTCAGTGGTTTTCCGAAGTAGCCGAAGATGGTATGGACGGTGTAGAATGCTCAAGTTTACTATAAAAATGCGTTTTTTCCAATATCATATTCCTTTCGGTCTTGTAACATTCAAACTCGAGTGAAACACCATCACTAATTTTTGATGTTGCAAAGCATGAAATTTTATAAAAGATAATTTTTAAAACTTAAAGATACTTTTTAAACTATTTTTTAAACTTTTTTTTTCGTTTTATTCATTTAACCATTTATGAAGAACGAATATTATAATATGCTTTGAGAAGTAGAAGACTTAACGAAACAAATCAAACAGAGCAAAAACCTTCATGTTCTATCAAGGACATGCTAAGATACATGACTTTGAAGACAGGCATGTCATGCAAATTTTGCACATTGGGGAGAGTGTAACGTTGCAAAGAATTTATTTTTTGTGGTTTTCTTTTTAGCTTTCTCTTTACGGCCTAGACTTAACCGGTTAAAAAAGTTTGAGAAAAATCAAAGGTGTTGAATGAAAAAGTGCGCAGACTGGTATAGGACGATTTACGTGTATAAGTTTAGCTGTATAGTATCTTTGTCATTACTTTGAAGAGTGAAGCGAAATTGGAACTTTAGCTTACAAAAAGTTAACCGAAAGTAAATGGATAAGACTGAAACTGTTAAGGAAGAGTTAGGCGAAATTAAGAGTCTGAGACAGAAAAAAATACGAGAGTAGCCTAGCTTTCAAAGGAATCATGTGTAGAAATAAACAAACTTTCGCTCACGGCAACAGCTTAATCCAGTCTTTGGAAAATAGTCGTTTGTGATTGCCGATTGCTTTCTAGAAAGCATTTCATACACAGTCTTAACTTTGTTAGTTTTCCTTAATATTAACATCCACTGCAGGAAGATGGTAATCGGAATGGAGGTCCACAGAGTATAGTGAATGTGCTATTGCATCAGTGCACAGATTCTGAAAATTCTGTGGGAGACGGGAATTGGCGTTGTACCGCAACAACAGTGACTGCTTCGCGGTAACCGTAGTTTGGAGATTCCTTGAATCTTTTCGCATGGAATCCTACAGCTGGGGTAGTGGAATACTACTGTGTTCATTCGGTCAAAACAAAAACTCTTTCTCAGCATCCGCAAAGTGCTGACAGGTTTTTTTCACGGTTTTATCTGACTTTAGAGAAGAAGGTCAGAAGTTCTGCGTATTTGTCATTTCGCGAATTTAAGCACTGGAAATAAGACGTTGTGACGAAGCCATTTCTTTACCTGAACCAGGTGGAACGCTCAAAAATAATTCCATTTTCAAAGAGTTTAAAAAGTCCACAGATTTTTTTTTTGCTTGATAACCGATTTGTGATGACTACACCCCTGCAGCGTCTATGTTATCAATGATGTCTTTTTACCGTAGTGTAGCTTACGCTAATGCGCACTTGGTTACACCTAACCGAGTTCAGCAATTATTTCATACCTGGCTGCCTTCTTTTCACCATTAGGCTTTGTTCTGATGCTGCCTCTAGAATCAAAGCTTTGGTACAAGGATTAAGCCATGCTTTTGTGGAAGACTACTGGATCTTACGTTGTGTTTGCTTTAAGGATTATTTCCAAGTCTGTGATAGCAAATCGCAGTCGAACGAATATTACACTTTCTCACGAGCTTTTTCTTTGCTGTCAAAATCTCATTTGAGGAACGAATTGCAAACTGTCAGCTGCATGAAAATTGGCTCCTAAATCTTTTAAGTCAGTGTATGTTGTTACCTAAAAACTCCTCGTGAATTCACTACACATGTTTCCGAAAGCTGTAATACTTAACTTTAAATGATTCCGTTTTAAAATAATATGCGCCTCAAAGCCCCGTCATACTCCTTGAGCAGGTTATAGAATTAGGAAATAACGATATCAGGTCACCAACAAAGTATCCACTTCCCCTTTGTCATCGGCAAAATGGCAAGTTCCAGTGCTCTGTAAACTAATATCTCTCACCAATCTGTCGTACCTGTCGTCTGCATAGATATAATTTCCACCTTTTTAACTAAACTTCTTACGACATTAGAACCCAAAAAAAAGCCACAAAAACACAGCACAGTGGTAGCAGAAAGTAAGTGAAAAAATATGAAATTTCCAATGTGCTTTAGGTGCTTCCGACCTGATGCAGCTGCACCACAATGGACAACTGCGTCAAATGGCCAACTCTTGTTCAAGGCTACCTGTTCTACGAGAATAAATAGCAGCGTTACAGTGGATCCCACTTCATTGCAACGAGTAATAGCCGAAATAAATGTACAAATCATTTCCAGTGCAAAGATTTCACAGAGGGCTGTAGCTCAAAGACTACAGTATCCTAAACACTAAAAAAACAAAACGACTTCCAGCAATCAAGTTTTAATTTTAATCGGTTTGATGTAATGAACGTTCGCAATAAAAAACAGTGAGTGTACCGTCATCAGCACACAACACAACAGAGCGAGTCTACAGTTGCTCGAGTTCATGAAGAAGCCTCCTGATTACTCTAGCACAATGAATGAGTCAATAAGGCGACGTTTCTTGAAAATGCTGAGATGCTGTTAGTTTCCAAAAGCTAGTAACAGCTCTGCGTTGACAAAACACTAATGCCTTTAAAAAATTCCAATTAAGACGAAACAACAACAAGAATAACCACAATTAACGATTTTTTAAACTGTAAAGAGGGAGTAGAGCGATCTATGCGAAGTCCAGCTGAAATTTACACCTTAATCCCGGTCGGATTCTGAACCTTCTGTATAGTCTGACGATTGGTCCACTTGTTCTTCGTCGTCTGAATCCTCGTATTTAACCAGAGGGACATCCTTTGCCTCCTGTACTTCCAACTAAAAAATCCCAATATAATTCGTTTAGCTTATACCACAGAGATTGTCGTGGTGACCACAAAAAACCAGCCCTGAATATCGCTAAGACTCAAATAAAAAAAACGTTTCGGCCACTAACAAATTTTGTTGAAATTTGCAAAATATCCCTAAGAGAAAACTCTTTGTAACTGGAGAAGTCTTAACGACACTTAAGGAGACAACTCGAAAAAGAGAAATTATAGAACAAAAAGTTCCAAAAATCAATTAGAAACCTTCAGATCCAGCGAGTAATCACAGTCCATATAACTGTCCGACTTGACTAACAGGGTATAATAATAAACACCTTTCTCTTGGGGTGCACCAAACTTTATTTCAACCTGGAAGCAGCTGAATAAAATTTGCAAATGCACAATTTCTACAACAGCGAAAAGAGTATTTACACAAAATTTTCCACTGTAAGCTTCTAATCCTCAGCAAGAAATGTTGAGTAAGAGAGCAGTGTTTATAAATAGGATAATGAAATTTATTTTTACCGTCTCCTCGTCGACTAAGGTAGTGCAGTGTGTACCTGGAACGACTATTCTCTTTAATTTCTTCTGAAGCAAAAATAGCCACCACCACTCATATTTCTCGCTTGGGTAATAAGGACAGTGAACTAGGTGTGTCTTTCTACTTCTCGTCTCAAGCAGTGTCTCCTTTTTTAAGATATTCTCACGTATCCACTCATCTTCTTCCTCAGAATCACTGGGAACGTCACTATTTCCGCTTTTCTCGCTCTCTTTATCCAGTTGCCTAAAATGCGACGTAGGAACATTTAATCACAAGCTCATGATAAGCGACAAATACTAGGCTTTTTTTCTTAGTTTTAACTGCGATCACAATGGCTAAAATTTACTCTTTCTCTTCCGATTTCTCAGAATCCGTAGTACCCTCTGCTTCCGATTCTTTGCTTGAATCTTCGTCTCCTTTACCTCTGTTTTTCAACAGTTCTTCTTCCTCTTTCGTTTCATCCTCTTTCCTCTGCACTATTTTCTTGAGTTTTCTGGTTTTCTGCCACTGCCTGCCTTTACTGGACTTTACTTGTTTAATTTTCTTTTTGGGTTTTTGCCAGACCTTCCGTTTTTGTACACTCTCCTTCTCTTCTACCGATCCCTTCGATTCTTCAATGAGTGCAATTTCTGCAGCCTACAAGTAATGGACTAAGTCCTGCGATGTATTTTAACAGCATCGATTTGCTTATGTCGAAAATATGTAACCTTTAACGATAACAAGTAGTCATGTAGAACAAAAAGAAGCGCATATTAAATTATGCTTTTGTTCAATCCATGATTTTCCTTCCATTAATGAAACTCGCTTCTATTTAGAAACTGAGAGTTATATTGTTCGCTGAATACATAATTCATAAAATTTTCAGAAAGGGATGGAAGGTAAGCTTAAGTGTTTGCGCGCAGAAAACAGTAATACGTTTGGGGCCCGATCTTGATTTTCTCTGACTTTGGAGGTTCTAAATATATTTAAATTTGTAAGCGTTACAATTTGTGTGCGCCAAGCTCTCAAAGAAAGATAAAAAGTGCAGAAGAAAAGAATGACGCCAATCTAAGTGAACTGATAAATTCACTGCTGGTCAGAGTCAGACAAATGCTTAACTCTTGTAAATAACCAAGGTGAGGTTCAAAGTCAGCTAGATTATGCAGTAAGTGTCTTAGTGAGAATTTCCGAACATGACGAAGGACCTTCATAGTTTAGAGCGCCGTCAGTTGTATAATCACTAGTCCTCCTTACAGGAATAAACAGATTTTAGATTTTTACAAAATTGTTCCTCTCGTAAGCAGACAATAAACATCCATTAAATTGCGTCCGTAAGCATTATAATTACACCGAGCGTAAATTTAGCCTCACGGATAATTGGTTGGACAAAGATGAAAAAAGACACTTAGGTGATCTGTTTAAAGCCTAAAGAGAAATCGTATGGAATGTGAATAGAACGTCAACAAGTGCATAAAAACGGAACCAAAAAAAGGATATCATTGAAAACCAAGCAAGAATAGCTGAGGAAAGCTGAAGACCAAAGTGGGCGACTATGAGCGTTTAGTGGACTTGGTGCATGATAAATCACAGCAAGTAATACGTCAGAATGGTTACGCAGCAAGTAATACGTAAATCACAGCAAGTAATACGTCAGAATGGTTTGACATACCCGTCATTTTATTCTGTTCAGTGTTTAAACTTACATGTCTTTCAAACACAAGCTATCCTAAAACATTAGTTCCGATCATTTGGCGTCTACATCCTATTTCTCTTATTATTATTATTTCCGTGTTTAAATGTCTGCTTTCTAGGCTATCTCCAAATCAGTAACAAACTCATAAATCATAAATGACTATCCTCCTTTCAGCACTTCCGGTTCAACCGCCTTCCAATCCCTTCAGTAAGCTCTTGAGGTAGCAGTCCAAAAACGAACTCATAATTTCTCAAAAAATATAATAAACGCCTATTTTCAGATTCAATTTGCAAAAAAAAGTTCCAGAAGCAGACTAAAGACTCAAAAACAGATAAACCAAATGTTTAAAGCTGACACTTCTATCCCGCAATGAGTTATTTAAATTAGCAAATTACTTTTTCCTTGATTTCGTTCATTTCCTCAGCTCGTTTAATTAAATCGAGTAGACTGTTCCGGACTAATTTTACTCTCAGTGTGACAACAGAACCTACGGTGACTTCATGTGCATCATCTTCACCTTGAACTGAAAAAACATACAGATGACCAACAGTAAAAATTAGCAAATGCAGCTTACAATAATATCAAAAACAAAAACCTTCGAAATGTGGGTCGATACTGAGCTTTGGCATAGAATGTAAAACGTTTATTACATCTCTATATTCCCCTTCAGTTAGTGACTGTAAAATATACCGCCTCTTGGATTCGTGGATGTTCGCTAGGTCTGCACACGATAGAACTCTATTCTAAATCACTTAAATGTTCTTTATTTACAAAAATAGCCACGAAAAAAAAATAATAAGAGTGCAAAGTTACTTTACGCAAATAGTGTAGGTGATGTTCGGTAATATGCGGTAGTTGCAAAAGTGTGCTATTTTTTGGCCATAAGCCCTGCACTATCATGGGGGATAGCTTTGTTAGATTCTCAATTGTGTCTAGTGATGGAGTGCGTGGGCCATCACAAAAATACATGTACTGCGCAATAGACAACATTTCGTTGATCAGCATGATACATTTTGATACTACATAAGTACTGTCTAAATATATCAGCATCTGAGAAAGATCTCATAAACAATTCATGCAGAGCTAACCAGCTTGATCAGAGAAATAACTGTAAAGATTTAAAGAAGTTTTAAAAAGAAATGAAGGAAAGAGCATAACTATTTGGGATTCTTGAAACACACCAATCCTCAATGACGGTGAAGGCAGCTCAAACCGTGAGAGGTGCGCATGAATAAATAATCTAGCTTTTAGTGCATAAGCCATGTGAAACGGCTGCTCCCTCGTATTTTCGCTTAAATTCTTGAATTCTTTTATTAAAGGAGGTAACTCAATGTCATCACTTTCACGTTCAACTATTTCCTTATTATGGCGCTTCCAAAATTCGAATGAAGCCCCAATTACCATAATTATGCCTAAAAAATTATTGTCCATTAAAAACTAAATTTAAGATAATGGACAAAAAAAAAAAGAAAAAAAAAA